GAGCCTTCCTTGTCCACTGGAAACTGATGTGATGATGTGGGCCAGGAGGAAATAAATGCTCAAGAAAATATTCCTGAGGACTTTTTGGTAAAAGAGGCTTTTTTGTTAAAGCACAGGGGCAGGATCTGTGGAAAGAATGAGCTGCAGTGTGTCTGTGAGGAGCCATTGGTTACACCCTTTCAGTTGGGGGGAGGGTAGAAATAACAGTGTCTAAAGGGATTTTCGTATATTAAAGAAGACTCCCAGGATACTGGAAGTCTGACTGTGGTCAAGCTAAGCTTGCTTTTTGCCTCTAGAGAAGCATCACCATTAAAGCAGTTGTGAATTCCGTGAGGAAGATCTCCCTCTGCCAGTCTCAAGTGTTTCTCTGCGGGTGGTAAGTTGTGAGAAATTTTAATTTTACCTACGTTTTTTTTCTTTTATTCTCCTCATCAGAAACTACAAGACAGGGGAGCCTGTGTGACACAATCGGTCAAGCTTCTGACTTTTGAATTCAGCTCAGGTCAGGATCTCTTGGGCTGGGAGTTCAAAATCTGTATCTCACTCAATGGTGGTGCTGTGTTACCTACTTGGGATTTGTGCTCTCTCTGCAACTCCCCTGCTCTCCCTGTGTTTCTGTCAGTATAAGTAAACTTAAAAAAAACACAAAGGAAATAATGCAAGGAAAGAGAAACTAGAAAGAAGTTTCCAGTTTAAATGTGATGCTGTCTGGAAATAGTTCAGGGAGTCCTGTCTAAACTCCTTAGAGCTGGTAAAAAAGAAAATATGAACCTTACAGGGGAATAATCTGGCAGCACAAAGCCAATTAAAAGAACGTAATGTCAGCTGTAAGGAAACAAAGTGATCTCAGTGCCTGAGGCACACCTCAGGACACAGGACCACAGGTGTGTTCTTGTGACCCCCAAACAGCAAGTCAGAATAGAAACAACTTTGAGGACACAGAGCATTTCTACTGCCTTCAATCACATACTCTCCATGTCCTGTAACATGTCATATATCTTAGAGTATCTTTTTTACACACGAATGAGCAGGAACATTCCAGGTTTTCTGTGCCTCACGTTCATCTTGTGTTTTTGTGTTTTCACCAGGGGGTGTGTGAAGCACACACAGGGCAGAGAAGCCTTGAGATCAGACCTAAATGGGAATTGGTTTCCTCAAGCGCTATCCCAGGACCAGACCTCCACACAAATAGGACACTTGGTTTCAACACTGTCGCCTCTGGATCTGTCACAAAGGGACTATTTTCAATACTGGCAGGAATTTAATTCAGAGTGACAACTGTTGTTGCCCCACTGGAAGCCAGGTTGGAGAGAAGGGAGAGGAGTCTCCTGGAATAGGGAGGAGGAGTGATCTTAAGACTTCACATGGAATATCATTTCTGAAGAGGTTAAATACTAGGTGAAAACATAAAGGTGAAAACATAAAGCAGGGGGCACCTGAGTGGGGAGGGAGGCATCTGACTTTGGCTCAGATCATGATGTCACAGTCTGTGGGTTCAAGCTCTGCAACGGGCTCTATGCTGACACCTCAGAGCCTGGAGCCTGCTTCACATTCTTCATCTCCCCTCTCTGTTCCTTCCCCACTTGCACTCTGTCTCTTTCATGGCTTTATTTTATTTTGAGGGACAGAGACAGAAAGTGACTGGGAGAGGGGCAGAGAGAGAGGGAGACACAGGATTTGAAACAGGCTCCAGGCTCTGAGCTGTCAGCACAGAGCCTGACACGGGGCTGTCACCCGTGAATTGAGACAACATGACCTGAGCCTAAGTCAGACCCTCAACTGACTGAGTCACCCAGGCGCACCACACTGTCTTTTTCAAAAGTGTGTAAACAAACAAAAAAATTTTTATAACATAAAGCAGAACCCTTAGACCTAAAACCATACAAAAATAATTGGCATTTAAAATTTTTTTTCATTGAGAGAGAATGTACGTGCAAACGGGGAACAGGGAGAGAGAGAAAATCTTAAGTGGGCTCAAGCTCAGAATAAACCCTGATGCAGGGCTGGATCACAGGTCCCTGGGAAAATGACCTGAGCCTAAATCAAGAGTCTGATGCTCCACAGACTGAACCACCCAGATGCCCCGCAATGTCTCCATGCAAAGCATATCCCGAGAACAACAAGTCCTCCCACCTGGGATGCAAGGCTTACCTGAGAACTGGCCATTTCTTCTCTCACCACCTCCTCCTCCTCTAGATTTATTTTCAGAAGATCTGAGAATGTGGCGATATCACAGCTGAATAAGGAGAAGAGGTCTTTAAAGCCAACAACACAGCCACTTGACTGGTAAACTGCTCCCCTGAACTCAGGGCTTTGAAATGCAGAGAAGGCCCAACTTCCTAGTCTTTTGTGTCAGGAGCTATTCACAGACTGTGAGCTCCTACTTGGGAACCAATCCCTGAGTTTCCCTTCTCTGCTTTGAGGGGACTCCCTTCCCTCAGAGGTCCACAATTTCTGCTTGAGAAGAGAAAACGCATGATACATGGACCTGACCCTCCCCAACTCCTGTACAGGAGGCCCTATTACGTCTCCTTGAGCCAAAGCCTGCACTCAACTCTCAACATAATGGGAAGCCTTCCTGTTTAACTCTGGCCTCACTTAGAATGTTGATAGAGAAAAGATAGGATTCAGTAGGCAAAAAAGGAAAGATTAGGAAAAAGAAAGATAAGGTCCCTGGGTGGACAATAATACATTTTGGAACAATGCTGGGAGAGTCTGACCACAGCAAAACCCCTCAGGTGTAAGCTTTCTCTTAAGAATGTGACACCACCTACCCGCCCCCCAGGAATGGACTTAAGACCTAAAATTAGTAGTATACCCTAACACATTAGACCCACAAGAAACAATATGGCCCTAGAGCACCCCCCACACACACACACACACAAATGAGCCTATCAGGAATGGACAACCCATTACCTAGAGTTACTAAGCCAGTAAGTGTAGGACCTGAGGGGGAGACCTAAAGGGGGGAGAGACCCAAAGCTCATAAAACCAAGATCCTTGTCTAATGTCACTGGTATTCACCTTCCAATGCCCTCTCTATGTAAAGAGACCTTTCCTAATACTATTCCTTTCTTAGACTCTAATAAACTTTTGCCTGTTGCTCATTGTCTGTCCACCTCTTCATTCTTTGAATCTGCGAGATAACGAATCCCAAATTCCTCGGTATGGATGTAACAGAGATCCATTAACAGAATCACCTGGAGCACTTCACTAAATCAACACTGTTGTTTCCACCCACCCAGCTGTGGAATCTGAGGGGGAGGGCAGCAGCAATGCTCATTCTTGAAACTCCACAGATTATTCTATTGGGAATCATTTGGGGAAGTGACCAAGCCAAAAACAATACTCACGACCATGGTGGCTGCCCAGATTTAAATCCATGCCTTCTCCACTGATCAGAGTATCTGTCAATGTACACATTCTCCTTACCGCTTCACAGAAGGAGACACCTTTACAAAAGGACCTTCCCCTGATACATGCACAAGATGACGTTTTGGGGTGAGAGTGGGGTGATCCAGAGCCAACGTTCAAGAAAGAATTCTTGAAGACGTCTTTGGTGCACAAAGAGGATTGTATTAAAGCATGGGGACAGAACCCATGGGGAGGAAGAGCTGCCCCAGGGCCATGAAGAGATACTGATTATACACTTGGCAATAGGTGGGAGGTAAAGTCAAGGAGATATTTCCAAGGAGATTTTCATATGCTAAAGAAGACTCCCAGGGTACTGGAGGCCAACTTATTGTCAAGCAAAAGTTGTTTTTCCCTCTAGCAAAGCATTAACATTAAGATAGTAAGGAGTTCCTGGAGAAACTTTTACTCTACCTGCCTCAAGTATATGTCAATGGGCTGTCAGGTATAAGGAAATTTAATTGCCTTCTGCTTCCTTTCGACATCAGCTGCCAAATAATTTTCCAAATAGAACATAACTTTTAAATTCCCATTCACCATATAAGAGTATTCTCATTGCTCAGTATTTTGATTCAAATTTGGTGTTACACTGTTTTCCTTTTTAGCCATTCAAGAAAATATTAATGGTTTCTCACAGTAAAATATGAAGTGGTCTTCATACTGTTGCCTTGGTGACTAAAATGGAAATTGCTTTAAGTGTAAAGTTGAACAAAAATCAAAATGGCGGCATTAAACCATCAGCAAGCCTTGATATTTAACCAAGTAACCTTTTCTTCCTCTTGGGGAAACCTTCCCTCATCTCTTCTTAGCCTTGAAAACATTTTCTTATGTTTGTTTTTGACGTGGGGGGGCAGGCACATGAGCGGGGGAAGGACAGAGAATCTGAAGCAGGCTCTACACAGCAGACAGCCCAATGTACGGCTTGAACTCACAAGCTGTGAGATCATGACCTGAGGCAAAGTGGGATACCTAAATGACTGAGCCACCCAGGCGCCCCTCTGAGTCTTTTTTAAAAGGAGAAACCCAGGACCACGCTGAAAACATGAAGAACGAGGATGGCAGCACAAACACAAAAACTGTCAAAACCGGTTGGATCCTGTATTTTCCTACACCACCCAGCTCCTTCCTCTGGGTGGGCCTGCAGTTCTGAAGGCCCTAACCTGGGGCAGCCTCCTTTACCTGCCAGAGCAAGAAAGCTATTGGTCCTCTTTATCCCAAACTCTGTCTTCACATTAGATTTTGGCTCTCAAGTACAGAGGTCAGTTTTCAACAAGAGAATGAATGTGTAGGAGAGAAAACCATTTTTCTTCATCTTTCCTCAATTCTTTGGGGGTTCCCATAATGAAACTAACATAAGACAGTTCCACAAGAGGAAACATTTTAATTATAGGAACATCAAGGAGATGAGGGTCAGAGTCAGGCAAATGAGGCTTAAGTGACTTTTGTGACTTAAGGAGAAGGGGTAGGGATTTAGAATTTCAAAAAGGGGGAAGTACATTCACAGGAAAAAAGAAAGAAGGAAAGAGTCAATTTTGCCAAACAAATGTTTACCGAGCCAGACAGGTAACGCTGCATAAAAAACTTCCTCTCTGGTATTAGCTCTTTTCCCGGTAGAGGTCCCTCATCTAATTTATTGCTTGTATAAAAGCCTCAGAAAAGAAGGAAATCTTTCCCTTGGCGGCAATAGAATATCCTAGAGGACATTTCAAGTTAAATGAGCACCACACAGCAAAATATACCCTGTATGAAAGCATATATATGTGGAATACAAAAGAAGACAACATTGTAAGATTAGCATGTGCGTTGTCTTGGGATGAGGATGGGGAAATGTTCAGACATGGGATCAAATGATAAGAGGTTTACTTATGCAGGATGTGTAACCACTAAGCATTTATAGCAGTGACTATACTTAATACTAGTGTATTGTACACTTGAAATTCCCTAGGAGAGACTATCCTAAGTACTCTCACAACACACTCACACGCACACACCCTCGTAACTATCGAGGTGAGGTGTATGCTTACTTGATTGATTTGGGTAATTCCTTTGTAAGCAGGACCCAAGGGTGCAAGAGCACCTGGCCCCAGTGGCCCCAGACAGACCCACTTCTGCAATTCATGGTGGACAAAATCCAAGGACAAAAAAAGAGGACTTCCATTAACTCAATTTTGACCTCAACCTTTCTCACTGGGTTCCTTCCATACGGTCTCCTGGCTCCGGAAAAAGACCCTGAGGGGAACTAGACCTACCCCTCAAGCCACAAGGAGTACCCTGAGTCAGAAAGACACCACCCATGGTTGACTCCAGGATGACGACAGACTTAAACTTCATTGCGGGTCTCCAGCAGGGGGCGCGCGAACAGGGACCTGAAGGTAATCTCTTTAAACTTTATCTAGGGGCGCCTGGGTGGCTCAGTCAGTTGAGCATCCACCTTCGGCTCAGGTCATGATCTCACAGTTCTTGGGATTGAGCCCCGTGTCAGCACAGAGCCTGGAGCCTGCTTCAGATTCTGTGTCTCCCTCTGTCTCTGACCCTCCCCTGTTCATGCTGTCTCTATCTCTCTCTCAAAAATAAATAAAACATTTAAAAAATAATAAATAAATGAACAATCTCCTTTTCATTGCATTAGCAAAGAGGGGATAAAGGTATTTCCTCCACAAATTGCTCGATTTTTAGTCTTCAAGCCCACTGCCCCAACAAATGATAATAAGGTGGACTCAGGGACTGTTCCCAACTCCACCACTACAAAGATTTCAACATTAACATCAAACAATTGGGCCTTCCCCATCCAGGCTAGAAAAACTTCATTTCAACAAACAGACACATTCAAGGAACGGCCCCCCCAAACCACCACCTCCTCCTCCTCCTAATCCTAGTCAAATAGGTTAGAGAAGGGGCCATTGTTCCACTAGCTGCTGACCCCATAGTCGGGAAGTCTCCTCCCCCTATATGGGTTGAACAATGGCTCCTAACCTCTGAAAACAAATCAGCAGCAAGGCAACTAACTGAACTACAACTAGAAGCACATCACATAGAGCTCTCCGTAGTCCTTGGAATACCATTATCTTCGTTATAAAGAAAAAATCTGGAAAATGGAGGCTTTTGCAAGATCTGAAGGCCATAAATGTTACTATGGAAACTATGGGCTCTCTTCAGCCAGGACTCCCGTCCCCTGTAGCAATCCCGGATGGATATCAGATACTTGTGAAGTTTCTTGACCAGGCCCTTCAACCTGTTAGACTCATGACAACCTTTCCCTCAAATAGATTAAGGGCCCGCACATTTAGAGCTCTGTGTTAACCCTGTGCGGTCCCGGCCGGTAATAAAGACTCCCTTCGTTCGGCTTCAGTGGTCTCCGTTGGTCTCTGTGTCCTTCTACAGAACATTTTGGAGGTCCCACCAAGATTATGGAGACCTCAGATCTCCAGATTCTGGTCTCATTCACCTGTAGCCTCCCTGGTTCCTAAAGATGTCCTGGGACCGAGGGAAACATTCTTGTCTTTTTTTTGCCGCCCCCAAAAGGGGTCCCAGTTAGTCTTTGTGAGTCACCTTTCTAAACCTCTGGAGGTAAGTCAATTTACCATCTGAATTCTGAACGCACATGTACTTCTATCAGGGGGATTAAGTGGAAGGCTGGAGGCATCTCTACTTCCTGCCCCGGGGAGCACCGAGCCATCCGTGTGACCACATCTGTAACCTGTAAACCTGTTTTATAGCCACTTCTGTACCTGTTTGGTCCTGTTGTCATTGTTTTTAGTCTCATCTGTAGGAATTCTGTGGGAGGGAATGCAATCACCTCTGGTGTGTACGTGAGTGTGAATGTGAGACTCGGTCTGGCTTGCCTGCCAGGATCGAGTCTGTGGCTCCTCAGGTGGGCACCCATAAGGTCCCCAAAGGCCTAGAAGTCTGAGTGGGCCCATCTGCGATTCCGTGATGAACGGCATACAGTCTATGGCGGCATCGGAATAGTTTCCGATTGTAAGACCCAAAGCTGACACCACTAAGGCTAAGCTTCACCTAATCCTTCAGGACACGACCAGACTGGCATCTGACTGGTCTCATTTGAGGGGGCACCCCAACCCTTTGTCTGTCTTTGCAATACTGCCTCTTGGGAATGAGTGCCTCAACTGGAAAGGGCCCCCAAACCCAGCAGATATCGGGACCTCAAGAAGGGGACCTTATTGGTCTGGCTGAGATAAAATGAGACTGAAGGGGATGCTAACTCTCTCTGTTCCTCTGCCTAGTATATGTGAGGGCTTCTCTCACTCATTTCCCAAGTAACTCTGTTTCAATACACTTTCCATAGTGTCTTATCACAAAGAACTATCCACTGTAAAAATTCCATTTTCTGATGCCATGTTATTGTTTAACCTATAAATAAAGACACCAAAACTGACAGGATTAAGATACCTGCCTGGTGATCGGAAAGATTCTTGTGGCTCTCTCACTCTTTCTTGCTGACACTGTCCATCCTTCAAGGACCCCTCGACTGCCTGGAGCTGGTCTCCAGCAACCTAAAGTCTGGGGCCCAACCCATCAAAGTATGCTAATATGTTAGGAAGCAAAACTAAGGATCCAGGCACAGTGGACAGGCGACTCAAATCGTTCATTCTAAATGATGCCAGCCCCCATGGAACACTCCTCTGCTATCCATGAAAAAGCTTGGCACAATTGATTACCACCCTGTACAGGACCTAAGAGCCATTAGTGAAGCAGTTGTCACAGTGCATTTAGCATTGCCTAACGCATACACTCTACTAGAACTCATACCCTCTGAGGCAGATGCTTCACATGTCTAGATTTAAAGGATCATCTTCTGTCTCCAACTAGCACCTAAGAGCCTAACCCTGTTGGGAGCCATTCTGAGCCCACTAGTCGAGAAAACTCCTGGTGAGGTTAAAGCAAGTTTGCACGGTCTCTTGCCAATCAGATGATGTCCGATATCCACCCCCACTCAATTATTTCTGCTTGAGCACTGACCTCTAAGGTACCTTGTTGATCAATATCGGGAGTGACTTGTTCCCTTATTCCAGCCCTGGTATGATGATTGCACCTTGTGAAGGAACTTATTGTGGGAAGTTCTTCTTTTGATTATGGGAACAGACATCGTGTCTCCAGAAGGTCCTGTTTCCCTCCATACTTTCCCTTGAGCTATGAACAGGCTAACGACCCCTAGTCATAAAAGATTGACCTTTACATGTACAATTCTGTTTCTACCGTTGCATTAGTCCAAGATGTTCATACAGCTCAACATGTAAATCAACTAACCAAAAATGTCTCTCATGCCCTAGCTATTCTAGAAATCATAAAAGTAGACACAAAGGTAAATGCACTCAAAGAGGCTATTCTATGTATTGTAAATAAGCTAAACTCTTTAAAGGTATGGTTGGCTCTCTGGTGCAATAAAGCATATAACTGGAAAACCAAGTCTTGCGCGGAGACAAAGAGCCTAACTTAGAGAGAAGGAACAGATAAGGGCAGAAGATAAGTTAGTACATACACCTTTGCTAACTGATGGTGTATAGCAGCCCCTTCCCTAAGGCCTACTTTCCACAAACACCTTCCCTTACCCTGGCAGCTGTGATGAGGATGGATAAGGGTATCTACAAACCTATGACTTAATCTTAGCATTATTAAAATGTGAACACCTTGTTATTTTCTTAGTTACTCAACTTCACTATAATTGGGGCTGTTCTGCAAGAAGACTTCTGTAAAACCTGTTTCTGTACATTTTCCAAAAACATCTTATCACAAAGAGCTATCCATTGTAAACATTCCATTTCCTGATGCCATGTTAACTTTTGACCTATAAATAAAGACCAAAACCGACAGGACAGAGATGCCTGTCTGGTGATCAGAAAGGATCTCGGGGCTCTCTCACTCTCTTTCGCCAACACCGTCCATCCTTCAGTGACCCCTGGACCTGTCGGAGCCTGCGCGGCCTCCCACATAACCCTATTTGCTTTTGAATGGGAAATCCCTACCACAGGGGCAAGGAATTGTTCCCTTCGACTAGAGTGCTACCAGGATTCAAAATTCACCAAATTCGGGGCGCCTGGGTGGCTTAGTCGGTTAAGCGTCCGACTTTCGCTTAGGTCATGATCTCGCGGTTCGTGGGTTCGAGCCCCGCTTCGGGCTCTGTGCTGACTGCCAGCTCAGAGCCTGGAGCCTGTTTCAGTCTGTGACTCCCTCTCTCTCTGACCCTCCCCTGCTCACGCTGTCTCTCTCTCTCTCTCTCTCTCCTAGAAATAAATAAAACATTTTAAAAAAAAATTCACCAAATTCCTACACTGTTGCGCTGCATCTGATTTAGCCAGGTTTATGGGTTGGGACCTAGGATGCGTCCTCTTCTAATATATGGATGCTCTTCTGCTAGCCAGTCCCAGGAGGACCCAGGTGGGAACCAGGGCCCCACCCAGGCTACTAACAGAGGCACGATATCAGGTGTCAAAGAAAAAGGCACAGATTTGCCAACAGGAAAGTAAATATTAGGGCTTCAAAATTACCCAAGGCAAATGGATGCTGGAAGCCTAAAGGAAACAGCTAGTCTGTGCCATTCTGGTTCCCACTACCTGCAGGCAGATGTGAGAGTTGCTGGGAGCAGCAGAATTCCGTCAAATATGGATCCCAGCGTTTCGGAGATGACCAGACCTCTATACAAGGCACTAAACGGGGAAGAGAGAGCACTCCTTTCATGGGGCCCCAATCAAGAAAATGTGTTCAAAACTAGAAAAACAAAACTCATGGAGGCACCAGCCTTGGGACTCCCTGGTGTATCAACAGATTTCAACCTGCATGTACATGAGAAGAATGCAGAGGCCCTGGGAGTTCTCACCTAGGAATTGGGGCCTTGATTAAGACCAGTGGCATATCTTTCAAAACAGAGTGACTTGGTTGTGGCAGGATGGCCACCCTGTCTCAGGGCACAAGCAGTCATGACACTTTTAATCAAGGAAGCAGACAAACTCACATTAGAGCAAAACCTAAATGTTAAGGCTCCCCATTCTGTTATTACTTTGATGGATGCTAGAGGGCAACACTGGCTAATGCATGCTATGATGACACAATATCAGGGGCTGCTATGTGAGAACCCACAGATAAGACTGGAAGCTGTAAAAACTCTAAACACTGCCACTTTCTTCCCCGCAGGGGGGGACCCAGAGCCCAACTGTCTAGAGGTACTTGATGAAGTCTATCCTAGCCAACCCGACCTATCAGACAGGCCCTTGCAAATCCTGACCTCATCCAGTACAGCGACGGCAGCAGCTTCATGAATGAAGGCAAAAGATATGCCGGTTATTCAGCAGTCTGTGATTTTGAGGTCAGAGAAGCACAGGCCCTTCGACAACGATAGTCACTGCCAAGAGAAAAACTGTCGGCGCTAATAAGAGCACTAGACTCAGTAAAGACAAACGGGCCAACATATATACTGACTCACGCTATGCCATCGTGACTCTACAGGTCTATGGGGCTCTATACGAGGAGAGACGACTTTTGACCAGAGGAGGAGGAGAAAGAAAACATCGGGAGAAATCCTAAAACTATTAAGGGCAGTCTGGGAACCGAGTTCGGTAGCAGTCATCCACTGCAAGGGACACCAAAGGGGAAAGGACCCAGTCTTGAAAGAGAATCAACAGGCTGACACCACAGCTAAACAAGCAGTGGGAAAACACACAACACCTTCAAAAATCATGCTGCCCCAGAATCTCCAACTTCCCCAAAGTATACAATTCAAGAAACAAAAACGGGCACAAAAGGAAAAAGGAGGCCAGACAAAAGTTCTCCATGGTTCTCCATGGCATGATGGTGAGAATATGCTCCACTTTACTCATGAAATAGACATGAGTGACCTGTGTAGTCATCTGACTCTTTTGCAGCTACCTGAGGGGACTTGATTCTGTCTTACATGACACTGAGGGCTCAAGGAATGGAAGCATATTACGAATGCATTGTGCTGCCTGCTCAGAAAAGAAGCAGAGTATTTCTTCAAACACCAGAGAGACTGCAGAGCTAAAACCAAACATCAGCGACAGAGATGTATCATGTGCTCTCAATAAAACCCAACACACTTTCTTAACTGGGAAATTTAAAAAGCTCAGGCTTTACAAATAATCAGGATAGGATTCACAGGCCGCAGGATTTACTAGCACCACTGATTATTATTTGTGTTCTCCTTTACAAAGCACGTTCATAAAGCCAGGGACCAGAGACTACTTTCTAAATTCCCAAAACTCAGTGAAAGGTCACAAAGCATACCAAGAAACAGAAAACTGTGTTCCAATTGAATGAACAAAATAAAACTACAAAACTTACTGTCAATTTATACATAACTATTCATTACCTGGCAAAGAACTCAAAATAATCACCATAATCATGCTCATGGAGGAAGAGGAGAGAAGAAATGGGGAACTAAATGCTATCAGGAAAAGTATGCATGGCCAAAATAAAAAAAGTAAAATCAAGAAAAATCTTGACTTTCTGTCAAGAAAGTATAAAAAATGCAATTAAAAATTAGGAGCTAAAGTGTCCAGTAAATGCATTTTTAAAAAATATTTTATTTATTTCTGAGAGAGAGAGAGACAGCGAGAGCAAGGGAGGGTCAGAAAGAGAGGGAGATACAGAATCCAAAACAAGCTCCAGGCCCTGAGCTACCTGTCAGCACAGAGCCCGATGCTGGGCTCGAAACCACGAACTATGAGATCATGACCTGAGCTGAAGTCTGACCCTCAACCGAATGAGCAACCCAGGCGCCCACCAGTAAATGAATTTTAAAAACCAGTAGAAAGGGTGGCAGTGCTTGGCTGGCTTAGTTGGTAGAGCATGCAGCTCTTCATCTCAGGGTTGTAGGTTTCAGCACCATATTGAGTGTAGAGATTAAATAGAATTTATCAACAAAAATAGTCAAGGGTTATCAAAAGACTTGATCAAACAGAAAAAATGAATCAGACAACTTCAAGACCACTTGTTTAAATTACCCACGGAGGGAGCACATTAAGATTGGAATAGGACAGGGTCCCAAGGACTTCTGGGACACTAACAAGTGAACCAACATACACATTAAGGGGACCCCGTAGGAGAGGAGAGTGAAAGGGGACAGAGAGCTTACTTGAAAAACTAACAGCTCATAATTCTCATATTCATGCAAAGAAACAAACGTGCAGGAAGCCCAGGGAGAAATACACCTAGCCAAATCTTAAACACATTGACACTAATGTATCATCCATCACAGGTGGACAGAGAACTTTGAAACACTAGGAGAAAAGGAATCCTCCTGTGCAGCAGATCCACTGTAAGAGAGCAATGGTGTCTCAACACACCTTATAGGAAATAGGCATAGGATAATATAGTCAGGTACTAAAATATCAAAAATATCAACCAAGAACATTCTATCTGGTAAAACTGTCCTTCAAAGATGGAGAAATGAGGGGTGCCTGGGTGGCTCAGTTGGTTGGGCATCTCGCTTCGGTTCAGGTCATAATCCTACAGTTTGGGAGTTCGAGCCCCGTGTTGGGCTCTGTGCTGACAGCTCAGAGCCGTGGGCATTCCGATTCTGTGTCTCCCTCTCTCTGCCCCTCCCCTGCTCGGACTCGGGTTCTCAAAACTTGATAAGCATTTAAAAATATTATTTTAACGGAGAAATGAAGGCTTTCCCAGGAAAAACCTCTAGAAGTTTACCAGTAAACCGTCTCTACAAGAAAAATTAAAGGGAGATTCTGGTTAAAGCACAAAGACTGTAAAAGTAACTGAAACAAAATAAACATATAAACACTCTGCTCGTTGTCAATACTTAAGCAACTAGGCAAACCTGCAGTTTGTAAGGAGGTACCACAAATCATTAATATTTCTGTGACAGAGTATTAAAAAAAATTAAAAGTAGAAAAAAATCACAAATCCACATAGCAGAACATACAAAATAAAAGACAGAATTTGGGATATCGGTAAGACAAAGTATGTGCTGTGCTGGACATGTTGGTTATGAGAAGTTTTCAGTCATTCTCATGGTAACCACAAAGAAAATGCTGCAAGAAGATATAGAAAGGATAGGAGAATCATATCAAAGCAGGTCATTACAAACATAAAAAAAAAAAAAAAACCCACAATGGAACACAGAACAGAGGGGAAGTGACATAAAATAGCCACAACAAATTCAGAAAACTACAAAAAGTTGGCAGTAGTAGTGGTTTTGTTTCAGTAATACGTTGTTTGTAAAAGGATTCAAGTCCTCGAATTAAAAGAAAATAGACTCATTCAGTAAGTAAACGACAAAATCCTACAGTCTCCTGTCTATAAGAGACTCACAGTAGATCTAAGGACACACATAGGATGCAAATAAAACTATGTAAGAAGACATTCCATGCAAATGGAAGCCAAAAGAAGGCAGAGGTGGCCAGACTGTTATCAAAGAAATACACATTAAGTGTCAAAAACTGTCAATGACAGAAAAACGACATTTTTGAAAGATAAAGTCGTGAAATTACTGGGGCAGTATAACAATTATAAATATGTATACATCTAGCATCAAGGATTCCCTAGGTCAAGTGAAGCACATAGAACAGAACTGAAGAAGTAAACAGGATCATAAGAGTAACAAGTTTACACGCCAGCTTAACCAGAAAGACAGAATTCAACTCCAATAAGAAATACACTTAAGCAACATGACAGACCAATTACGTATGATAAACATAAAGGACCTCTCCACCAAAGAGGAGCGAAATACACAATCTTGTCTATTGCACACGGATCAGGATCCTGTAAAGATCATGTGTAGACTACAAATCAAGTCTTAAGAAATTTGCGAAGACTGAAATCATACAACTATGGTTTTTTTGGCCACCATGGAATGAAAGTCACTTTTAAGATCAGATGGAAAATTGGAAAGTACACAAGCATTTTGAAGGTGAACAATATGCTCTTGAACAATCAATGAGTCAAAAGACATGGAAGAAAAGGACCAGGAAATATCTTGAGCCAAGTGAAAGGACACACAATCTAGTCAAACATATGGAATTCAGAGAAAGTAATTCTATGGCAACAGTGGAGTACAGAGGCAACCTGTAAAATGGAAGTAAATTTTTTGCAGAGCATTTAGAGCATAAGGACTTAATATGTAGGATAGAGAGAGAACCCATGCATCAACAACCAAAAAGCAAATAACATGGTTTAAAATTTGAAGAATAGAATGAGCATCATCCAGTGAAGACCTACAAGTGGCCAACCATATGAAAGATACTCAAAATCATTATTCCTTAGAGAAATACAAATCTGGCCACAGTGAGGGATCACATCACACCAGTTCACATCCCACTACTGAACAAACAGAAGCACATGTTGGAATGGATGTGGAGAAATTGGAACTCTTATGCACTGTTCTTGTAAATGCAAATGGCACAAACACAATGGAAAAGAAGATCAAGGTTTGTCGAAAACATTTAAATAATATTGTCATAAAATCAGTATCCCAGTTGTCGGTATATAACCAGAAGAATGTAAACTAGGGTTTGCAAAAGACCTGTGCAGAAGTAGATTCCTAGCAGCACTATTCAGAAAAGCCAATAATAGGGGCTCCTGGGTGGCTGAGTCGGTTAAGCCTCCGACGTCGGCTCAGGTCATGATCTCACGGTCGTGGGTTCCAGCCCCACGTCGGGCTCTGTACTAAGAGGTAGCTCAGAGCCTGGAGCCTGCTTCCGATTCTGTGTCACCCTCTCTCTCTCTGACCCTCCTCTGCTCAGGCTGTCTCTCTCTCTCTCTCTCTTGGAAATGAATAAAATATTAAAAATAAAATAAAATTCCTTCATAGAAATAAACCAATAATAAGTGAAAGTGACAGAAATGTCCTTGGGTCCATGAATGGGTAAAGAAAATGTACCATATACACACACTGGAAGAATATTCAGCTTTGAAAGAAAGACCCGATCTCATGACCTTATACAACATGGCTAAAATGTGATGACATTATGCTCAGAGGAATAAAGGAGTCACAGAGACAGATATGCTGATTTCACATACCTGACTAACAGAATATAGCAAACCTCTTGAAGAAAGGAAGGAAGAGATAGAAGGAGGGAGAAAGAAAGTGTAGTTGGGGCTTAGAACAGATACAAAAATGGAAGTGATTGATTAAGAGACATAGAGTTTCAGATCTACAAGATGAGAAAATTCCAGAGATTGGTTTTGCAACAACACAGACTTAAGACTACAGTTTCAAATGGTTTGAATCGTAAATTTTATGGCCTATGTTTCAACCACAATTTTACAAGAGTAAAATATAAAGCTTAATGTTGATACAAAGTTAGATTAAAAATATTACCTTCAATTCAAGATAGTATTTCTCTCATGATGGGAATATGCTTTCATCCATTTTTACTTACATGTCAAAAACAAATAAAAGTTTAAAAAAATGAACCACTTACTTGAAGAACCCCTGCTTGGCACAATCAGTTGGACATCTGGATCAGGTCATGGTCCCACAGTGTGTGGGTTCAAGTCCCACTTTGGGCTGTGTGCTGACAGCTCGGAGCCTAGAGCCTGCTTTGGATTCTGTGTCCCCCTTTGGATTCTCTGCCCCTCCACTATTCTGTCTCTCTCAAAAGTAAACTTTTTTTTTTTAAAGCCACGTATTTTTGAGGATAGCCGAGATGTAGTTTCTCCATTTCACAACGAGAGGCATACTGCACTGTAATGTAAGTATCTGAAAACAAAGTTGTATATCAGTAAGAAAACTAATACATTGTTAATTATATATGAAACATCACTCACTATATGCTTATGGAAGCATACTTTCTTCAACTCCATGCAAGTGTCACACACAATATTCTAAAGAGGAGTACTTGGCAATAATGATGAAAGAAAATACAACTCCTATATTTTCATGGCTGACTAATATTCCACTGTGTACATATACCACATCTTCTTCATCCATTCATCTATTGATGGACACTGTATTGTTTCCTTATCTTAGCTATTGTAAATAATGCTGCAATAAACACTCAGGGTTCCATATATATTTTTGAGCGAATTTTTTTAGCCTTCTTTAATTTCTCAAAATTTATTTATTAAAAGTTTTTTTAAATGTTTTATTTCTAGGAGAGAAAGAGAGACAGCGTGAGCAGGGGAGGGCCAGAGAGAGAGGGAATCACAGGCTCTGAAACAGGCTCCAGGCTCTGAGCTGGCAGTCAGCACAGAGCCCGACGCAGGGCTCGAACCCACAAACCGCAAGATCATGACCTAAGCGAATGTCAGACGCTTAACCGACTAAGCCACCCAGGCGCCCCTCTCAAAATTTATTTAAATTGAAGTTAGTTGAGGTGCCCAGGTAGCTCAGTCAGTTAAGCATCTGACTCTTGATTTCAGCTAAGGTCATGATCTCATGGTTCAAGAGACTGAATGGTGTGTTGGGTTCTGTGCTAAGAGCATGGAGTCTGCTTGGGATTCTCTCCCTATCTCTCTGCCCTTCTTCTGCTCCCCCCTCTCAAAAGAGATAAAGTTAAAATAATAAAATAAGTTCAAGTTAACATACAGTATAGTATTGGCTTCAGGACTAAAGCCCAGTTCATTCTTCACTTTCATAGGACATTCAGTGCTCATCTCAACAAATGCCCTCCTTAATGGCCATCCCCCCCAATACCCTTCCAGCAACCCTGAGCTTATTCTCTGTAATGAAATTCTCTTAAATTACATTGGGACCTCCACGTACAATCTCCCATTGTGTACAGATTTTCACAGGTCCCCAGAAGCAAGTCAGATCACATAGACCCTCACTAGCCATGGGGGGGCTTTTGGATTTCACGGTGAATGCCATGGAAGACACTGGCACAGAGGGTATGCCTTACAGGATACAGAAACATGGGAAAAGAGAGATATGAAAGTCCTGCCATGACCATCGGCAAAATAAACCTAGGCTTCCAGAATCATTCGATTCAAGGAGAGCTTCCCAGACCACATTTTAAGGTGTAAGGTCAAAGTTTTCTCCCTTAACCTTCAGCCCCCCCTTGTGTCCTCTGCTTCATTCATTCCCACTTACCTGTGTGTGTGATTATTTTCTCCTTTCTCTTCATGAACCAGGGCTCTTTCCTTTTCCCAAACATCTTAACCGGATCGACTCTAGAGACACGAAGACCTATTTATAGGAAAAAAAAAAAAAGATCCATGACCCTTGCTGGAGAATCGACAATTCCAAATCCAGCACTAGGCCCTGTAGAGAACACATTACAGAAGGATGTAGAAAATTATTTCTCCAAATGTGATTTCCTGATGGCCTCTTTCAAACACTTAGGAAGGCTTTTCAATAATCAGCTTCTTAACTCCACTTCCAAGGACTGTGGAATCAAGAATAATGAATATTGGGGCACCTGGGTGGCTCAGTTGGTGAAGCATCTGACTTCTGCTGAGGTCATGAGCTTGCAGTTCATGAGCTCAAACCCCACATAGGTGTCTGCAAGGAGCATGGGGCCTGCTTTGGGTTCTCTCCCTCCTTCTCTCTTCTCTTCTGAATGTGACTATCATGAAAGGGATAAATACTAGTCTAAAACAAATTTGTTAGGCAGGTTCATCAGAGGAAGAAAAGTAAATATTTGGAAGTTCTAAATACATGGCATCTCATTAAGTAATGAGGACACAGCCTCTGAGCTAAGTGAAGCAAAATTTACCTGAGACGCAGCCATTTCTTCCTCTCCTTTCTCCTCCCTCGTGTTTTCTGGGGTGATGGTAGGTGGAGAAATCACACCTGAAGGCTTTGAAAGGCCTCAGCACAGCCTCTGCATCTGCTCTCATCACCTCAGAGGCAGAAGGATCTTGAAATGCAGAGAAGGCTGCCCTCTCCTTGATTTTGGCACGGGAAAGATTCAGAAAAATGGAGCTCCTACGTGGAAACGTTTCCTTCCCAGATTCAGATGTCCTCCTCTCCCACAGACAGCCACACATCCAGCCACAGTTCACGGAGCGGGGGGGGGGGGGGGGGGGGGGGCTGCACTGCCTTCTCCTTCCAAGTCCACACCGAACAGACTATCATCATCTCTTCAACTGAAAGCCGGACGCAGCCTCGCAAATACGTCTGTGAACCCACATGCTTCTCCCTGGCCTCACCGGAGAATCACCTGGAGCTCATGGAAAAGCAGCACCGATGCTCTCACTCTGACCAATAGACAGACTCCGGCAGAGGGCCCAGGTGATGCTGGTTCTTGAAACTTGCCATGGGATGTTTCTTGTAAACCCAGGCTGATAAGCAGTTGTGTGCTTTCAAGTTTAATTTACGTATAAATCATGTGGTCCAGGTCCCATAAAAGAGATGGTGATTCTGCAGGTCTGGAATCGGGTCTGTGTCTTGGCATCTTCCACCTGTTCCTTGTTAGTGCTGATGCTGCTCCCCCACACCTGTGTTTAGTGGCACTACAGGAGAGATGCAGCACAGCACACCTGAGCCCCCATAGCCACCATGTGAATCAACACAAACAGCTCCTGCTGAGTTCCCAGGGAGGAGTTTGCCACCTCCTTTCCTCTGTGGTGAGTTTACTGTTGGTTCCCAGCAAAGGCCACCGTCACCAACCTGCAGGACCACATGCTCCTATTGCACTAGGTAATTTTCCAGATGTGCAAATAGTTGTTCTGCACATATTTATGTCCCACCATTCGCTTTGAGCTTTTGCTTACAGAAACACACTGCTTTAGTAAAGTACTGGACTTAAAAGGGAGGTTTTCCAAAATGGTTTATATCCTTCACAAGTTTGGGCAGTGAGATTCACATTACACGCAGTTGTCTCAATTTGGATATGTCCTTCCCGATATTTATGTTTAACTTCACTCTTTCCATCATTGTCCTGGTCTGTCATTATGTGTAAATTCTCAAGGGCCCTAGGTTTATATCTACTCATTGACACGTGTTGAAAGGAAGCTTCTATGCACAACGTTGTCAGGAAGCTCAGGGTGCCATGGGAAGGTACAGCTGAATGATATCGAAGAACAGAAACACAAGCATTCTACTTATTACTCCCACAGGATGTGCTCACAACTTCTAATATATATCTCTAAAATCGCTCAGAGAATGTCAGCAAGGTGGCTGACAAGGAATCATCAGAACCTCATTCTTCCAGAGACACATAAACTTGCACACAACGTACAGACCACATAGCCTAATATATAATGCTGTAGTGTTGTTGTGGCATAGCGCAAATCACATTCTTATACCTCAAATACACATGCAAAATACCATATGAACCCAAAATTACCAGCAAAAAGGAAATTGAAACACAGCACAGAAGTGAGTAAAGTAGGATACAGCAAAACTAGGAAACTATAAAGAATAGAAAGGGTTGGTTCTCAGAACAAATGAAAATTGGCAACCCTTTAAATCAAGAAAGGAAGGAAGAGAGAAGACAACTACAATCAAGGGGAAGAACGAAAGGTAGGCACAGGATAACTGATACCATAGAGATATAAATCATTAGAGGAGCCACCACTAGAGAATTACATGACAAGACAGATATCAAGAAATGGGTGTAAATTTCGGAAAGATAGAACCTATCGGGACTCCCTCAGGAAGAAATTTTTTTTTTAATATTTTTATTTCCAGGAGAGAGAGAGAGACAGCGTGGGCAGGGGAGGGTCAGAGAGAGAGGGAGTCATAGACTGAAACAGGCTCAAGGCTCTGAGCTGGCAGTCAGCACAGAGCCCGACGCGGGGCTCGAACCCACGAACCGCGAGATCATGACCTAAGCGAAAGTCGGACGCTTAACCGACTAAGCCACCCAGGCGCCCCAGGAAGAAATATTTTTAAAATTTTCAACCGATATATCTACTAGGTAGATTGTAAAAATCAATTAAAATCAAAAACAAAAACAAGAAACCTCCCAACAAAGAAGTGTTTATCCAGATGAATGAACTGGATAATCCATACAAACATTTGTTGAGAAAACTGTTCAAGTCTCCTCAAACATTTCCATGGAACGAGGGATATTAAGAACACACTCTCTGTGACCCCAGCTTTAATAAGTTATCAAAGCATAAGAAGACATTATAAGTCAAGAACAGATAAAAGTAAATAATAAAAAAATAATATTTTAAACCATAAATGAGTGAGAATTCCTCCCGAAATTCGATGGTGTTTCCACATATGGAAAACTATCCGTTTAAAAGTGCACATTAAAGGAATGAAGATCAAAAACGAGATGATTGTATTAATTGATGCAGAACGGGAAGTGAGCATATTGGACAGAATTTCGTGATTTAAACGACCCAATAAAGCATGAATGGAAGAAAACACCCACGACCTAATAAAGGCTATTTGTGTATGGAAACCTGAAATCTCACATACTCAACAATAAAAGACTAAAAACTTTACCTGTCTGATCATAAAAATGATAATAAAGCAACATCAACATTTCAATTCAACATGGCACTGCATCATCTATTCAGAACAAGTGGGCAATAAGGAAATAGATTAAAGGCATTGAAAATGGAAAAGATAAAACAAAATGAACTCCGTTCACAGATGACATGATCTATAGACATCCTAGAGAATCCTTATTTTTAAATTTTTTTCTTTTTGATTTTGTTTGGTCATCATTTGTGTTGCTTATTTCTGCCTATTTTATCTAGGAGATATCCTGTTTTCAAATTTTTATACTACAAATGGTTGAATTAAGTTGTTTGTCTCAAATTTCTTTTCTTTTTATTCAATGCTTAATTATTTCTGAGAGAGCCAGAGATGGAGAGGGAGAGAGGAGGGGAGGGGAGGCACATAGAGAGAGAGGGACCAGAGAAGCCCAAGCAGGCTCTGTCCTGTCATCAGAGAACCCAACTTGCTTTCAATTAAGACTTCCCTTGCAGATGAGGACTGCTTTTCTCTTGATGTTTTTCAGTTTTTCTTTAACTTCATATTTTGCAAATTTAATTCAAATATGTCACACTGTGGGACTGCTTCTTGTTTATTTTGAGGAATACTCTCTGCCTCTGTGCCTCCTGGATGTGGATATCTGTTTCCTTCCCCAGAGCAGGGACATTTTCTAATATTTCTCCCAATAAATTTTCTGCCCCTTTTCTCTTTTCTTCTGGAGCTCCTATAATAAAAATGTCATTACTTTTGAAGGAGTCACTGAGTTCCCTAAGTCTATTCTCACGTTGCAAAAATGTTTCTGTCTCTTTTGTTCAGGTTCACTATTTTCCATTATGTTGTCTTCTCGCTCACGAATTCATTCCTCTTCTTCCTGCTGTTCATTGCATCAGGATGATTTCTAATCTTATTTATTACATTTTTCATCTCTGTTTGATTCTTTCTTCACACTTTTACCTCTGTGGGAAGGGGCTCATTAATGTTTTCTATTCTCTTCTCAACGCAGTATTTCTTATGATTATTGCCTTACCTTCTCTATTTAGCATGTTACTGACAATTGTTTTAAGTAGATTCCTGATTGAGGCTATCCCTTGTTCTTTCATTTGGGCAACATTCTTCCATCTTCACACTTTGTGTAAGTCTCTGCCTTCCTCTCTTTGTTTCCAGAGCCAGTTATCTCCTCACTACAGGCCAGTGACCTGCACATACTCTCCTTGCTGGCTGTGGACAGTGTTTGGTACTTGGCCTGAATGTGGCAAATGTTCATTAGGTGTAAGGAAGTCTGTTTATGAAATCAGACCCGACCCCAACTCCACCAGAATGGAGGCCCTGCAGAACTGTCTGGTCAAGAGACAGGGTGTGGGCAGGGGCTTGTGCAGGTCTCCTGGAGAGGGTCTGACCTTGCCTGGCCTGAGGCAAGCTTGACTCAGAAGGTCACTCCCACCACGGCGCGGGGGTGGGGCTTCCTGTAAGCACCTTACACAACCAGTGTTGTCACTGAACTGCTTCACTCAGGAGATTCTATTTATGCTGAGGGGTGGGGGAAGAAAATGGTGCCACCCAGCTCCCTTGTTCTCAGGCAAGCATCTCAGTGAATGTTGCCTCTGACGGAAGTGCTCCTAGAATAATCTCACCCCTGCATGCCCCCTCCCCCCCAGTGATCTTTAGATCTCTGTTTCTAAGCTGTCTCACCCCTAGTTGTGTGCCTGCCTTCTCTCCAGGAGGACTGCAATGCCCTCCTGTCCCCAGTTGATCTTTAAAACTCTAGGCTTGGGGCGCCTGGGTGGCTCAGTCGGTTAAGCGTCTGACTTCGGATCAGGTCATGATCTCACAGTTCATGAGTTCGAGTCCCACGTCGGGCTCTGAGCTGACAGCTAGCTCAGAGCCTAGAGCCTGCTTCAGATTCTGTATCTCCCTCTCTCTCTCTGATCCTCCCCTGCTCATGCTGTCTCTATCTCCCTCCCTCAGAAATAAATAAAAGCAGTAAAAAATTGTTTTTCTTAAAAGGAGGAAATAATGAAAAAATTAAAAAAAAAAAAAAACCTCTAGGCTTTACGCCATACTGGTTGCAAGAACTCACAGTGTTGAAGCCCTCTCATTTTCCATGCCACTGGCTTTGGGGAAATATTCTCCTTGTGCATTCCCCTGTGTGCTCCTCTTTCTCTGCCTTTCTCCACAACCACAACTCCCAGACCTCCATAGCAGTACAATCTGTTTCTCTCCAAGCCATATCTCTGTCCTACCTACAGTACAGTCTTTGAATTGCCTCTTGTCTCTCCTTAGTTAAGGTTTTCCTCTGTCTGTCTTCAGGTTGCTTTTTGGGGTATTAGGATGATTTGATAGTTATCTAGTTGTGTTTGTGGAATGTGTTGAGCCTAGAGTCCTCCCACATCGTCTCCATCATCCTCTTTTCTGAGGAATCCTTGCTTTTAAAAACCTGTTAAATCTCACACAAATTGTCCAAAGTTGGAGAATACAAACCCAACGCTTATCAATTAACTGTTTTCACACAACAAACAACAATATTCCAAATAAAGAAAATTGCATTCACAATAGCATCACAAAAAATAAAATGCACAGGATTTCACACAAGATAGAGGTCATCACTACTGTGATGATAACTGAAAAATATTGGGCCAGAACTGAAAAAAAAAAAATGCAGAACCACATCCACCTTGCATAAGAATGTTTAACACTCCTG